TACCGGACTAGTGCTGGGTGAACATGCACGTACGTCACAGATATGTTTGCACCAGTCACGCATGTCGCAATTACAATTCCATCTGCAGGCAAACGAGCAAGCAACAAAAACATACAGAGACGTATTAAAACACCGACACACGAACATGCAGCACGTCTGTGCGTCTGTCTGTCTGTCTGTCTGTCTGTCTGTCGGTCTGTCTGTCTGCCTGTATGTATGTATGTATGTAAGTATGTAGGTACGTAAAGTATGTAACTAAGTCAGGATGTATGTATGTATGTACGTATGTTATACAGGTGTGTCCGTGTGTGCTACTGCTCTGGTCATCTCTGGTCGTGTAGCACGTACGCCTATAGAGGTGTGTGTAGATTCTGTAGATTCAGAGCTGCAGACCTCAGGCGAGCTCAAGGTACTGGCGCCCGCGAGGCCCAGGCGGCCGAGGGTTCCTCCGGGACTTCGGCGCTTGGTCGCCAGGCCGCCAGAGTGCCTCGGTGGACGCATGGAAAGGTCCACGTATGTGGCTATTGCTCAATTCGCGCACGTGCTGTCAATATCATGGGTCTTCTGGCAGTCTGACTTGTGTTTTCTTTCCCGTGCTCCCTCGTTCCTGTCGTTGCTTGCATACACGACAGTATACAGGTTGTTGTCTTGCGTGCAGGGCTGCAATTGCGGAGCGTGTCCATCTAGCGCTGTTCGTACACGTCTCGCTTCATGCATGAACTTGCCACAAGCACGTAGCACTAGGTATGCATGCATGCCTCTGTGTGTGTGTGTATGTATGTATGTATGTATGTATGTAGGTAGGTAGGTAGGTAGGTAGGTAGGTAGGTAGGTAGGTATGTATGTATGTATGTATATATGTATGTATCAACCATGCAGACCTACATGCGCACACACATACACACTTGAACCTTTTGGGTCTTGCTTCATGCTCCATTGATCTGGTAGTCGATAAACTGCGAGCCAACGATGAAGTCGAAGGAGAAGACATGAACAATGATGTGTAAAGCTAGCTCAGCGCAAACAGCACCCATGGTCATGGCTTCGCCAGCAGCATATATCTCACATGAGATATAAGGCACAGACTGACAAGCACTCGCAAACACACAAGATCTGCCGAGAGCTGTGCATGCACACGCGCTGTGGTTGCAGTGTAAGGTTCTGGGCGTAGCCTCGTGCCATAAAAGAAAAACGCACGTGTGTGCCGAAAGCTTTCGCAGCATACTTCAGCCGTCTTCGTTGGCAGCAGAACTGAACTACTTCACAGACATGCACTTGCAAGTGCACGCTAGCGGCACTAGCACAGCAAGGGCCAAGAGAAGCAGCAGAGAGAAGCCAAAGGATGGATGCGCTCGCAACAGAAGCAGAGTGAAGTGAGATTGAAGCAGAGTGCAAGCTTACTCCCTTTCTTTCTCTGTGTATGAGGGTGGATGTGCAGACCGAGC